TGTCCAGGGCCCCACGTCCAACCTCAATAAAGCAAGTAAAATGACTGGGACGAGGAGACTTGCTCTATTGATTTCACAGTTTATTGATTAATGATGAGGTGTTCACTTAGCACCACTTGTCTGCCAGGCATAAAGAGTTGAGAAGATAATCAGGTCTTGCTGGTACCAGTGGGGGCCCGAGTCACAGGTGTGGGAAGCTCTTTTCGCTGCCGGGAATAGAGAGGCTCATTCAGGCTACATCACATCATGGAGCATTTTTCTTGTAAGGACGCTCTGACATGAAGGAAGGCTTGAATCAGTTCTACTTCTGGATCTCCTGGGAGCAGAGGAATTAAGACTAATCTGGTGGTATATAGTTTGGGAAGGGAGGGGATCGCTGGTTAGACAAGCATGTAGATATTCAGAGGAACACAGGCCTCTCAGTAATCCCCTGGGATGGCATTTGGGAGAAAGTCAAACCTGTATAAATATTTCTGTATTTTTCCTTCGGGATTCACTAAGATCTGAGGAGTCACTAAGATCTAAAAATGTTAGGAGTTTAGTATAGTCTTAAATCATATTTGCTTGTTTTTTTTAGGCAGATAATACATTTCCTATTTATTTCCTTCTGTATTATCCTAGTCTCCAGTATCTGTATGTGTGTGTGTGTGTGTGTGTGTGTGTGTGCATGCGCATAAGTAAATACACACAGAATACCCACAGGATAGGAAAATCTGAAGGTGGAAACCGAGAGTCTGGGAAAACTAAATTTGACTTGTCACATTTGAAAACATCATCTGTTAACCTTTTTTGTGTGTGAGTTTATACTGCTGCTTAGTGTATTTTGAAAGTGGTAATATTAAAACTGATCATATTAGCGCACAATAAATAAACATCAACCTCTCACATTTGAATAGGAATTTATAGCTTATGGGTACTTTCAAAGATTTTTTTCCTTTTTTTAACTTATTCAGTTTTTTTGGATTTTGGGGGGGGTTAGTTCTTTTCTGAAGTTCTTTTAAAATTCTTCCTAAAACCCCGCTGAAAGGAGGCAGGCAGGTCTTTCCATATTTTTCAAAGTTGAGAATTTAAATCAACAACATGACCCCATGCATCCCAGGCCCCCTGACTCCAGTTGGTGGCCCTGCCCGTGTGGCAGGCTCTCTGGGGAACAGAATGTCGACAGTGTCCTTCCTCGCCTTCTGCCTGCTCCTCTTCTCTCTACTTAGTTCCTGAGAATCAGAGTAGCAGGCACACCAGAGCCGGATGTTCATTACTTGCTTCAGCAGCAAGGCTTCCACAACCTTCTTCCCTATTTCAGCAGCTGGACTAAAAAAATCTAGAGAGACTGTGTAGGTTACTGTTAGCTTGCCAAAAGTTTGCGCAGGGAACACCTGTGCTTCATATCTGCAAGTGAGTACGGAGGGTTGTGGGTATAAGGGATTGAGTTCTTGGTAGTTGTCATCCAAACCCAGTGTTGACTCGGGCACCAGGGTGGCTCAGTTGGCTAAGCATTGGCCTTCAGCTCAGGTCATTTTTACCCAGGGTCCCAGGATCGAGTCCTGCATCGGGTTCCCTGCTCAGCGGGGAGCCTGCTTCTCCCTCTCCCTCTGTCTGTTGCTCCCTCTGCTTCTGCTGTCTCTCTCTAATAAATAAATAACATCTTTAAAAAAAAAAAAGAAAGAAAACTAACACAAAACCCCATGTTTACCTTGACTACTGCAAATCACTTGCCTGGTGCTTCCCTATTCCTAACTGCCCCACCCCACACCCATTCACTACTGGGAGGTGGAAACCATAGTTGTATAAGCTGTCGACTCACAATTTGAACATTGAGACAGTTTCTAGCAAAAGTATAAAGGAGGCATAGGGGAAAGTAATCTACCATCAGTAGAGTGAGGGCATTTTTACAGTCAAGCTCAGATCCTGATTTGCTTTAGATCAGTGTATCAGCAGGTGTGCACTCAAGTATGTTCATGGAAGACATAATGTAGTTAGGATTCTCCCCCTTACCTGTGGAACCACGAAGAATATAAAAGCTGCAAATGTCGTCTGACCAGGTATATCATACTGGTTGATTCAGACACCTTCAGTGGCTTTGCAGCAATGCCCTGACCTTTTGAAATGCTGAATGTCTATTACTAAAATTCCAAACAAAACAAAATACACAAACACCCCAGAAAACTCTTTGGATTTATGTTGTAGCTGTGCTGTGGAAAAGTCAGTGCAAAACTGTGTAAAATAACTGTGTTTATATATAAACACTGTTTGGATCTAGGATCTGATGGTTATAAGCTGACTCTTTGGCCAACCTGAATGTCCAGATGTCTGGTGAGATCATTGAAAGCAGTGCAGGATACAGGAGTGGGGTTTCAGGAGGTCCCAGATGCCACCGACCTCCTGTGAATTACTGTGACAACAGAAAAGACTCCCCCCCCCACAAATTAGAATACACCTTCGAGATGGTGATGGCACTTGTGTTGCAAAACTCTGCCTTACACAGGTCAGAAAGACCTGGAAACCTAAGGGATCCCAAGGGAACAAAGACTGCCCACCATTTCGGATCAGAAGCTCCTCATGCTGTAATTTCATTGTCTCGAGAGGCTGGAGAGGGCAGGAGGAGAATGTCTGCTCTAATTTTTCTCCAAGGCTGACAGGTTTTCTGCCTTTCTCAACCTGCCTTTGTCAACCTGCACTATCTCCTCTGCCTGCGTTCTTGCCGGGAAGTGCCTTGCACCGTACCATTCCCTGTCCTTGGAGCTTGCTGGGGAGCCTTTCTTCAGGCTTGGTTCCCAAGGAGCTGTGAAGAAGGGGTTTGAAAGTGTTCAAGAAAACTGGTGGGAAGTTGCTTGTTTTTTTTTTTTTTCCCCTCTTATGTGGTGAATGTACATACCATACAGTTTACCCGTTTCAAGGTTTTCACTAAGTAATTTGTCACTTTGCAAGTATATGGCTAAAGTGTTCTGGTATATAAATAATAACAATTTTATCTTGCTTGGTCAGTTTGAAAGATACGATTTTCTATAAACCATAACATTTTATTTTATTTTAAGATTTTATTTATTTGACAGAGAGAGAGATCACAAGTAGGCAGAGAGGCAGGCAGAGAGAGGGGGGGAAGCAGGCTCCCTGATGAGCAGAGAGCCTGATGCAGGGCTGGATCCCAGGACCCTGAGATCATGCCCTGAGCTGAAGGCAGAGGCTTAACCCACTGAGCCACCCAGGTGCCCCAGCCATAGCATTTTAATAATAACTGAGCTTGTGACTCAGGTCACCAAATGAATCGTTGATAACAGTGGGAATCAGTATGGAAGGATGTATTTACTTGTCGAAGTGTGACTTCAGGAGTCAGTATTTTTGCTTCCTGTGCTCTGTGAGCAGCATTTTGGTACTAGAGGTGTCTAGGTTCAAGTCCTCCGGCTCTGCCGCAGAGTGGCTTTGTGATCTGGAGCAAATCAGGATCTTGGAGCTTTACCATAAAAATGTCCTCATTGGTAATGTGGTGATGTCGGTGTTTAATACAGTGGTTGCAAGGATTAATGTCGAACATTTGACACAGTCCTCCTCTAGTACTCATTCCTATGCATCCACCTTCTTTCATTTTCTAACCACAGTGCATGTAAAATCTTTGTCTTCCTCTTTCACTTGACCTGGCATAAACAATTTTTATAATTACCGTTTTCGAAGTATTAAAATTCAGTATTATGGTATATAATGACATTCTGCCACTAACTGTGGACATCATGTACTCTCTGTGTATAATATGAACCTTAAATTTACCTGCTTACTTCAAGAAATAAAGTTTTTCAAAACCTCCCTTCTTGACATAAGTGTAAGCAAAACTGGGTGGAGACAACATCCTGAGTTGAGTCTGGGCCGTGGCCCATGGGAGGCTTCCCAGGTGAGGGACGGTGCGCTTCCACACGCCACCTTGAACTTGCAGCCTTCAGTATACAGATCTGGAGGCCTTGACCTCAGGGTTGCACAGAAATGATCAAAACTATAACTATTAAATCTGAGAATATCAAGGATATACTCAATAATGATTACAGTACACACAAGCATTTTTCATTTTGTTTCCTTTTTTTTTTTTTATTGTAAAAATCATGCTGCTGAATAGAAGTGTACTGTTGACCAGGAAAGAATGTACTGAAAATTTAAGCAAACAGGTGTTTTTTGGGACAATTCGAATTGCAGTTCAGGAGACACAGATAGAGGTAGGAGCCTGAATCTGAGGAAGCCAAAGAGAGGGCACGTTAGAGAGTCAAAGGGCTGAGAGTGTAGTTCTCATTCAGGTCCTCCGTGCGAGAGAGGGAGTGGAAAGAAGTTATCGGGGATTGGTTGGGGTAATATGCAGATGAGGGGTTGAAGCTTTGCTAAACTGCTTTGGCTCCTTTTGCAGTGAAGAGTGAGGAGGATTCAGGTGTCCCGATGAGAAGAAAGTGAAGTCCCAGCTGAGAGCTTGCAGCTGGCCGAAGGGGTCTTCAGAAAAATTTGTGGTTTTCCCAGGGAGGGTGTGAATAAATTCCTCTACCTTTATGGCCTCCCGATCCCATTTTAAGCAACTCTGTCAGCTAGGGTTACTAGCGGTGTTCTGAAATCTCCTTTGACTAGACATACTGATTTTTCTTTCTCTAGTAGTATTTCTGTAGCATAAATCTCTAAAAGTAGAATTACTTTATTAGAGGACACAAGAACCTTGTATGGCCCACGATGTGATTGCCAAATTGTTTCCAAAGATACTGTATGGATTTACTTATAGATCCTCAGTTAAGTCGTTTCAGCTGTATATAAGGCGAGCCTTTTTTTTTTTTTTTAAATTTCAGGTGCTTTGTGGGGGACTAATTTACCAGGGGAAATATTGATTTTAATTTTTCTTTCTTGGCTCCTGGTGAATTTAAACAATCTTCACATATTTGTGATATTTCCTCTTGCATTTCTTACTCATTCTTTTTTTCTTTTTAACTTAAGTAATATGTATAATAATGTGTAATCATATTATTCTGCTTTTTTTCTTTTAGCTCCGGTAATAAACCGATTCACAAGGCGTGCCTCGGGTAAGTCAGATCATATTATGGATTTTGCTTATTAATGGTGACATTTCTTAAGTAGTAATTGCTGTAGAGTAATGATGTATTAGTCGGTCGTTTTCCCAGAAAACGAACCATCGGATATAATCAAGGACGAGGACATAATTGGAAACAACCTCTGCGTGGCTGAACTTAAACCCACCCTATGCACTGAGCCCAGTGCACCTTTTTATTTTTATTTATTTATTTTTAAAGATTTTATTTATTTATTTGACAGAGATCACAAGTAGGCAGAGAGGCAGGCAGGAGGGGGTTCGGGGAAGCAGGCTTCCCACTGAGCAGAGATCCCGATGCGGAGCTCGATCCCAGGACCCTGGGATCATTACCTGAGCTGAAGGCAGAGGCTTTAACCCACTGAGCCACCCAGGCGCCCCCTGATGCACCTTTTCAAATGGAACCTCTCACCCCGATTTGTCTATTCTTGCTCTTGATCAGTTATTATCTGCCCGGTTCCCGGATGTGTCAGGCACGGTTCAGAAGCAGTGATGTAGAAGATCGGTGAAGGACATCCTAGAAACGGTGGTGGATGAGCGATAGGAAAAGGGACAAGGAACAGGGAACGAGGATAAGGGACAATGGATAAGGGACAGGAAAACTCTGAAAATGTAGATACAGGAACCTGTCTTCATGGTGCCTTTTGGAAGAGGAGGGAATTGCTCTGCCTTTGTTAATGGCCCTGAGGCTCTTGCTCTCTTCAAGATAGCGCAGTAACCTAACATATGTTCACTGTGAGAGATCGCAGGCACTAACAGATGCTTGAGTTAGATTCACAAATACTGTACCACCTGCATTGGTGGGGAGTACCAGCCATAGCCGAGAACAGTTCTGTCCACAGTGGTTTAAGTAAAGTGAGCTTGGGCATTGAAGTGGATGAAATTTACTTCTGTGGAATGCCTTCCTCTAGCTGAACATAGAGGACAAATGAAGTGTTTGATGTGAGAAAATTACTTTTTCTTTTAAATACTCTAGAATTTTTTGTTGTTGATGAACATTTTGACTAGATCATTTCTGACGTCTATATGATACAATTGAGTAATTTAATCGAATTACCTTGTTTCCCTAATGCTGGATTATTAAAGATGTTTTAAAGTTTAAAGATTATTAAAGATGTTTTAAGGTTAAGTTTTATTTTTAATTTGTCGGCAGTTACTGGTACAATTTATTCTTATTATGTAGCGACCGGCTGTAAGAGGAAAGAGACCAGGATTGAGAAAATGTGCTATATTGGGATAGTGTCTACTTTACCCTCCTGAGCTTTTTGTAATGTGAAGACATATTTATTTTAAATGGTGCAAACAAAGAGTGGATTGTAGTGACTTTAGTGGAATGAGGAGTCATGTTTATGTCAGCAAGACATCAGATGATATCCCAAAGCAGAGCCATTGAGCGTGATGGTGTCATAGTTTAGGAATATGGTCTTTTGTGAGCAGTGGTGGGAATGAGAGAGGAGCAGTAAGAGAATCCGTCGTGTGCTATCTTGTCTTCATGGTGTAAAATTCTCTCCATAGATGCATAGTTAGGAGTCTTAGATCATCTCTCTTTCTGTCTCAAACTGTAGACATGAGACACGTGTATCTGGGCAAGTTGCATTAGCATTTGTTGTAGGATCAACTTAACCTCAATCAATGGGTCAGGAGCTCTAGTGTGTAGGGTAGCTTTGAAACATCATTATTTTAGTTTCTCCACCACCACTAAATCCGTGTCCAGTGTATCTCAGTAAGACTTGGCTGGAAATGTAGGGAAGATGAAATGCCAGCAGAGAAGCCCACAATAAAGTCGGATGTTTTGTTTACTTCTAGAATGACAGGCATAGGAAATGTCGATGAAAACAAGAGGAAACAATTTGATTTAAAGAAAAATAAACAAGGTGATATCAAGTTCAGGAGTTGTGTTATATCTAGCAATAAGCCTTAAAAGGAGTGAAAATTGTTACCGTAGGAATATAACGCACTGGAATCCATTATGAGAATGAATCTTGACTTTGATTATTTTATGTGCATCTTCAGTCTTTCAGGCAAGGGAAATAAAATTGTATTTATTACCTTAGATACAAAGAGCAGTGGTATAGAAAGGAAAAAAAGAAATGAGACCTATTAATCATCTACCTATCTGTAATTTATTTGACATTCTTATTTTTTATAAAAGTTTCTCTACAACTTTTCTGGCAAAGGAGAATACAGAAACAGTCTTAAGCCATCTTGAGGAGGAAATCCTATAGTTCTCTTTGTTAACTCAGTGGCTAAAAGGAATTTAATTTAGTAGTAGAGATACACATCAATTTATTTGGAAGTATCATTTCCTGAAAATAATAAATGTTTACTTAAAATGTAGAAATTCCTATTTGATGGTTAATATTTCTTAGCATGTCTTTTTCTAATGGAGTTTTATTTCAGAAATACTTTTTTCTTTTCTGAAATGAACTATAAAACTTACATAAAACCTGTCATTTCGGGGAAAAAATAAGTCAGGTAAAATCAACCAGAAGTTTATGTGATATGACAGTTTGTTTCTTTTTTTTTTTTTTTTTTTAAGATTTTATTTATTTATTTGAGAGAGAGAGGTCACAAGTAGGCAGAGAGGCAGAAGCAGGCTCCCCACTGAGCAGAGAGCCCCATGCGGGCCTTGATCCCAGGACCCCGAGATCATGACCTGAGCGGAAGGCAGAGGCCCAACCCACTGAGCCACCCAGGCGCCCGACAGTTTGTTTCTTATTCGTCTATTTTTTAATAATGATTTCAACAACAAAAGCTGTGTAATATACAATAATATACTACCTGTGGTGCTCGGTAATCAGTCACTGTTGATGGAACAAAAGTGGAAAAGAATATGTTACAATGTATTTCTAAATCTTTGAGGTTTTGTCTTTTGCTATTCCTACTGCATCTTAGAAAAATAAATACTACAACTGTAGTGATTCAAACAAAACATTTCTTTTATTATACTTCTGGAGGATGAGGGGATGTTTACATTAAGAAAGTGTTTAACAAATACATTACTTCGGATCATTTTTACACCTTCCACCACACTTTCTGTGAAACTCTCTTCATGTGCTCTCATTGCCTGCCTACAAACCTGTCAGTTTTCATTTCTGTAAGTAGACGTGTCACTCAGCATTTTCAAATGGATTTCAAATGGGGTTTGTGGAGGTTTCAGGGTTTCCTAAGCTCGTTTTCCACTAGGTGGAGGAACGAAAGGCATACAGTAGGGGATGACTTATGGCAGCAAACACTGGCGGGCGTTAGATTGGTTACGTTCTACAACACAGGATCGAAACTGTCAGGTGTCTTCTGAAATCCAGATGAGGAGGTTTCTTTGGTATCTTCCTGACAGCACCCCATAACCTTAATTTTATCACTTATTTTTTTTTTATATTTATTGTTCATTGAGCTGTAGTTGAATAGAACACTGTGTGTTCCAGGTGTGTGGTGTGTTGGTTTCACACATTTATATAATGCAATATCATTATCCACAGCCTTATTTTTAAGCAGCACCCCATAATCTTCTTTTGAACAAAAGAAGTACTACTTTTGTTCTTTTTTTTTTAACTCATTTCTACTCTCAGTAATCATTTCTTATCAATAATGTCTTTTTTAAATACACAGAAGTCACACATAATCTATTCTGTAGTCACATAAGCTATTATGTGGTTATATATAACATACATAAAATTAATAGAAAATACACATACTGTCTTGGAATGTTGATGGAATTAGAATTAACATTGACAGTTTGGAGTATTTTGGAAGGTTATTTTTCTTGGTGGAATAATGGAGATATACCATTTATTATAATTATTATTAAAAATTAATGGTAGTGGTAGACATAGTTGTTGGATAAATCTTTGAAGAGTAAAACTTTACATGACAACAGTCCTGTTGCTTCTCTGTTCCTCTAGTATATTATGTGGGAAAGACTCCAGAGTGTGGGGTTTCACAGACTTGAGGTCATACCACCCATACTGTGCAAATTTGCACGTAAGTTATTTTGCACATTGAGTCTTACTTTCTTATTTTCACTTTCTTTCAGTTTGGGACCATAAGAGCTATAATCCCGCTTGTTCTTATGGTTAAGCTAGATGGTTTTTATAAAGCAGAGTGGCTAGGCTCTCAGAAATGTTAGTGGTCAACCATCTTCTGAACATAGTTTAAAACAAAACAAAACAGTAAGACCCTCAGTGCTGTGCCTTAGCCTTTCATGACTAAGCCTAAGGGAGTCATAACACTCTTTGATACCTTCAATGTGGGGCATCTCCTTCTACTGTTTGCATGTTCCGGTTTCTAGAAAGATCATAATGGTTTCCCTCTGTGGTTTTTTCTCTGAATTGGAAAAAAAGAAAAAGTAAAAGAAATTTCTTGTTACTCTTGAGACAGTGCCTTGCAGTATGAACTCAGACCACACTCTCTGATTTTGTTTTAACCCCAGGATTTTATTTTGGAAAAAGTCAAGCTTATAGAAAAGTTTGAAGAATTATTCAGTGATCACTTTTCTCTGGATTTCCTGGTTCATATTTTGCCACATTTGTAGACCCCTCTCTGTCCTACCCTGCACACGCTCATACCCACACTTCGTTTTTTCACTGGATTTTTAGGAATTCTGAATACTTCATTTGTGTCTCCTAAGAACAAGGTCATTCTTTTGCATAATATTACCCTTAAGGAATTTAACCTTGATACAGTGCTGTTATCTACATAGAGTCTAACGTCCTTCCTTGGTGTAGCCTCTGTTCCTCTCTCTTTATCTAAGCTGATTCAAGGATTTTAGATTGCATTTAATTTTCATGGCTCCATTTTTCTAATCTTTCATAAACTGTCTCCCTAACATTTTTGAAGTCTGCTTCTCTTGAAGTTCTGAAGTTTCTCCCTCCCAGTGAAACCATTCCCATTATCACCAGTTATGAATTCTTAGTTCACTTGGATGTACCCGCTGTCTGGTCACCATGCCCCTCTGGTGCTGGTGAAGCTTAGCAT